ACGAAATTGGAATCTATGCGCATGGATGCGAGGACAATTTCCGAGAAAAGAAATACCAAGACTGGCATTTCCGTGAATGGGAATGAGTGAACAATTTAGAAGAAGAGAAAGTTCTCTGTGTGCCAAATGTGTTTTAATTGTGAGAACCATGACGTCTCGACATACTTTTGTTCTTCCTTCTTGTGAAATTCTTCCTACATTCTCTCCCCTTGTGCGCCCAGGCCCACTCACTTGATTTTTATGTTCTGTTGTTCGAGTGACCCTCGGACAATACGATCGTCGATAAGAAAGATAACAACAATCAACTTAACACTTATTGCTCGTCACGCATCATTCAGGCAAATCAAGTAGTATGTCTTATTGATCTTATTGATCCAACATACATACATACGTTATTTCAATTTCTTAATATATCCCACCATTGCCTTGTCTTCTAGCATCAAGGAACCAACCAGTAAACCAACCGTGAACACAAAGCAAGGCAACTCAGTGCCTTCCCTTGCACAACTACACGTTACTCACATTGGTTCGTTTATTTTTACAAATCACGCATCCTATCCCCCACCCACCAAGCGACACCATGTGAACCTCTCGCTGGTACTGCGAATATTTTGAAATTCACCTTCCTTCCGTCCATTCGGTACCCAAAATGCAGGATGAAATTAAGGCTTCCGAAATTGAAAAATTTTGGCACACCGTGTAACTTGCAATTCAAAGATTTTCCGAAATAAATTGGTTCCACCGTTAAGAAGAGGATTTTAGTGGTTTCTCGAATTTTTTTTCCGCGTGGAACGTTTTGCTGGGAGGGTGGATGGATGAATGGATGGGGCGAAGGGAGAGATGGGCGGGCGGTGTAACGGGTACATGGGACTTTCGGATGGAGGGAAGGCTAAATTCCCTCAGAATATTGCCGAGTATGAAGGAAACAATTGTTGGTGAACATGTGATGCCGGGTGGTGACCTCAAGTTGACCTCCGAATTTTGACCGTGATCGATGTGAAAAAAAATAATAATAGTAATAATAATACCGACAACATAACAACGATAATAAAAATCTTATTAAAAAAAAAAAAAAAAAAAAAATACAATTAAACCTATTAAATTGATCATCGACCTGGGGTGTGAGTAAAAAAAAAATAAAATAAAATAAAATAAACCTCATTTTAGAATGATAGATAGGGTCCCTTCGGTTTTAGAAAAATGGGAGGGTGCACGATAAAAGGAGTGTAGGATAGGACAAATACAAATCATAAAATAGGAACGGATGA